TCGTTTAAAGATCCTTTTGACACTAATCCAGGTAAAAGTAACAACAATGATTTTATTTTTATCTATTATCTTTTTAACTTTTAATATTTTTCTTAGTGTTCTCGGTCGATTATGATCGATACCGAGTAGTCTCCGGTAGCTCAATGCATGGATTGATCCGTTTATGGGACATGAGATACTATAAATCTCCTGATGATTATTCTGGAACTCTAAAAAAAGGAGCAGTCAGAGATGGATGGTCAATATTCTTAGGAAAATCGCAGAATTCGCCCGTTTATTCGTTACAAATGTCACATTCAAGATTGGTTGCTGCTCTAGCTAATCAAACGTGGATGTTAGATTTTGGCTGTGGCGGACTTTCGAGTCCAGATTCTCCTCATCCCAATTTTCATCGGTCACGACATAGATTATCAGGTGAAAGGAGAGGGATTAACGCACCATTGTATTATTTGCATCAAGAATGGAACAAAATATACGAAGCATGGTCGTAGTTTTTTAATAAATATAAAGGTATTCTTATATGTTTACTAGATGTAATAATTTATAATTCTGTTGATATAATTGTCATTATTGATTCGATGTGCAAAATTATACTGTCAAGGAATATTTCTAACTAGAGAAAGGATTGGTTTTTCCACAATAAATTTTTGTTATTCAGAAAGGAACAGTGATTTACCCAATAAAACATCAGTGAACTCTCTGGTGAAGGTTTCAATAAACTTCACGTATGCGTCTTGTTTTATCAAAACGTTTCAATCTTTCTACCTCAACACGTTTAGTTTCCACATATTATGTGAAGGTATTAGGATTTTCGTGCTTGATCGTTCGCTTAAGGACACTCACCGATTTTTATATTGCAACACTTACGTATTTCACGTTTGTTAGAACGCCAATTTGATTTCAAATTCAAAAATCGATTTTTGCACTTGCCAAACAATCACGTGATCGTTTTAGACACGTCATTTTAAAAAGATAATAGATAAAAATAAAATCATTGTTGTTACTTTTACCTGGATTAGTGTCAAAAGGATCTTTAAACGA